GCCTCTCCTCAACCCCACAAGCCAGAGTGCTGAGACAGAGTGGCCTTTTGGATTCAATAAGTATCTTGTTCTCTTAAAGACCCAGCAACTATTTTAGAAGTTGCAGCAGTTTTAGGTCATATGCAGCTAAGATCAGCTTGCTCTACAAGCAATAACATCTCTACTTAGCACTTCAAGGTTGAAAGTTCTTCACTAATGGATCCATTGACTAATTGATCCTGGAAGGTCAAAGGAATAAAATTCTTTTTTATAAATAGGAAAACAAAGGCAGAGAGCTAATCAAACTGGGGACTGTTAGAACAAAAACAGGCTTCAGAGAGAGGATTTTACCATGCTGTTGTTTCACATGGTAGAAATCACGGCCCAGAGCGATGAAAGGCACACCCTCTTTGTTTCTCCAAGTTTCATAACCGTTCAGTTGCAGAACCAAGAATCTAAAACCAGCCCTGGGAAACAAATGTCCTGTTGCCAGCCTCATATTTGGACTTGGATTTGAAAATACCTTCAGCACTTAGAAGAGACATTCAAATACATTTCATTTCCTGTTATCCAGATTGTTCGGAAAGTATTAAAATTTTTTCATTTACATGCTGATATGGTTTGGATCTGTATCCCTAACAAATCCCATGTTGAGTTGTAGTCCCCAGTGTTGGAGGTGGAAGTTGGTGGGAGGCAGCTAGATCATGATATCGTGGGAGTGGATTTCTCGTGAATGATTTAGCATCATCCCCTTGGTGCTATTCTCATGATAGTAAGTTCTCGTGAGATCCGGTTGTTTAAAAGTGTGCAGCACCTCCCTGCTCACTCTTTTCCTCCTGCTCCTGCCGAGTAAGATGCCTGCTCCATCTGCCACAAGTGAAAGCTTCCTGAGGCCTCCCCAGAAGCAGATGCCGCCATGTTTCCTGTACAACCTGCAGAACTGTGGGCCAATTAAACCTCTTTTCTTATAAATTACCCGATCTTGGGGATTTCTTTATTTAATGTAAGAATTAACTAATATGCATGCCCTTTTGGATCTACTGTTTCTATAAACTTATCCTACAGAAATACACATATACACAAAGATACATGTAAAAAAAAATAGTTTACTACAGCATTGTTTGTAATAATAAAAATCAGGCCGGGCGCAGTAGCTCACACCTATAGTCCCAACACTTCAGGAGGCCAGGACAGGTGGATCACCTGAGGCCAAGAGCTCGAGAACAACCTGACCAACATGCAGAAATCCCATCTCTACTAAAAATACAAAACTAGCTGGGCATTGTGGTGCATGCCTGCAATCCCAGCTACTTGAGAGGCTGAGGCAGGAGAATCACTTGAACCGGGAGGTGGAGGTTGCAGTGAGCCGAGATCATGCCATTGCACTCCAGCCTGGGCAACAAGAGCGAAACTCCGTCTCCAAAAAAAAAAAAATCATTTGGGTATTGTTTAATTCTGATTTCATATCATTGAACACTGCAGATGTTAAAATGTTCAACATGCACAGTTCTGTAAAACTGTTCTTGATATATTAAGAATGAAAGAATCAAGTTGTATAATAAGGATAACATCATCCCACTTTTGTACAAATAGATGTTTGGTGTTTGTGTGTATGTATATGTATATGTGTATATCAAATTTCTTCAACCCTCGCTA